GCCACATTTTTCTTCTTAGAACCAGCTTCTCGGATTGGAACATTAGTGACAGACAAAAGAAGCCCTGGTTGTTTCAGTGCTTAGCTGCTAGGAGAAAGGTGGTGATTTCAAGCCAACTCCTTTGGGAGAAAGATGTGGCAGTCTGCTTCTGTAAAGATTGGTGTTAAGTGCTGTTGAGTCAGCTCAGACTCTTAGCTATCCTGTATAGCATTTCGAAGTAGCAGTTGATGGGTTTGAACTGCCAATCTTGTGGTTAGCAGTCCAGTGCTTATCCTATAGCTCCACACAGCCTTGGAAACCCAATTCTGTCACACACAGTTGCTATGAGTTGAACTTAATTTACAGACCCATCTATCATTTGGCTGAAAGTTCAACCAAGGCTTAGGTAAGCTCAGCTCTAGGTCTGATGGATGTAAGCGCCATAGCCTCGAGGATTCCAGCAGGCACTAGTAGACCAGTAAACCTGGTTTTCTGTTTTTTTTTTTTTTTTATGATTTTGAGCCTTGTTCCACATTTTTCTCTCATTTTAACAAAAGCCTCCTATTGTGAGCCCTCTCAGAGTAGTCAGCAATGGTAACTGGGCACCATCTAGTTCTTCTGGTCTCAGGCTCATGGATACTGGGATTTGCATGGTCCATTAGTCTTTCTGTAGTGCTGTAGGATAAGCAGTGAACTTCTAACTGCAAGGTTGGTGGTTCAAATCCACTAGCGCTTCTCGAAAACCCCATACAGGGTTACTATGAGTCAGAACCAACTCCATGGCACATAGCAACAACAACAAAAAGAAGGGGAGTGTGGTGGCTCCATAGGATAAGCACTGGACTGGGGACCACAATGTTGGTGGTTCAAGCCCATTAGCCGATCTGCAGGAAAAAAAGATTTAAAGCCTCAGAAACCCTGTACTATGGTTGCTGTGAGTCAAACTGCACTTAACCACATCAACCTAAAAAAAGAAAAGAAAGGAATGTGTGTTATTACTATTAACACTTTTGAAGAAACAGAAAGGAAGAAACTGAAACCACACTCTCCAGAAATGATCACTATCTAGAGTATTCCTCTGAACTTTTCTACATAATTGAGATCATACTAAATAAGACATTTCAAATAGCCCAGCTTTTCTTCCTCAATTTTGAATATTTTTTGCTTATCATTATACTTTTTCCAAAACCTTCTTCTCATGACTTCTTTGGCTTAATTATTAAGCAGAATAAACAATATATATATATAGATGTAACTGATGCCTTTCTTAATACTTCAGAATTATTTTAATGATACTAATTACTCTCCTGTCCTAGCACTTAAAAAAGAAGAATTTATTTTATTTGTTGTTGTTGTTGAGATTCTACACAGCAGAACATGTACCAATTCGGCAGTGTCTGCACGTTGTGTGACCAGTTGCCCTCCTTTTCTGATTGTTCCTAGTCTCCCTGAGCAAGCTCACTGCCCCTGGAGCTTCCTATTTAATCTCGGGAATTCCTGTTGTCAGTATGATCCCATGGAGATAGTTCTTAAAAGCGCACAATGCTCAAGGCAGACATTCTATACTATGTAAGTTTATGGTATTGTTTAAGAAGATGTCGGGGATATTTTTGGTTAAAGGGGAACCCTTTTCTGCCCCAAATTATAACATCATTTGTAGGCCATACAAAATTATCAACTTAAAAATTAGCCTGCTCCCCTCTAATGTATGGCATTGTGGGATAATACACTGGATCGCAAGGTCGGTTTGAACTGCAAGGTCGGTGGTTCAAATCTACCAGCTGCTTTTCAGGAACCCTATACAGTGTTGCTAAGGATCTCTGGTAGCATAGAGGTTACGAATCGGGCTGTGAACCACAAGGTCAGCAGTTCGGAACTACCAGTTGCTCTGCGGGAGAAAGATGAGGCTTTCTGTTCCTGTAAAGATTTACAGCCTCGGAAACCCTGTTCAGGGTTGCTATGAGTTGGAATCGACGTGGCGGCACTTAACAACAACAACATACAGTGTTGCTATGTGTCAGAACTGACTCGAAGGCACTTAACTAACAATGTGATGACTAAGGAGCTCTGGTAGCACAGTGGTTATGAGTCAGGCTGCTAACCTCAAGGTTAGCAGTTCGAAACTACCAGTCGTTCTGTAGAAGAAAGATGAGGCTTTTTGCTCCCATAAAGAAACTAAGAGTCAGAACTAGCTCCATGGCACACAACCACCACCACCAATGTGATGACTGGAGTCTTGGTGTGGCACTGTGGGTTAATGTGCTGAACTACAATGTCAGTTTGAAAGTGCAAGGTTGGCAGTTTAAGACCACCAGCCGCTCCTCGGAAACCCTATACAGGGTGGCTATGATTTGGAGTCGACTTGATGGCACTTAACAACAACAACAACATGATGACTGGAACTGTGGTTGCCAGACCAAATGATTTCACGGGCCTTATATGATCCAGTACATTCCCTGCGTCTGGTTTAAAGCTCCTAATGCTTTTGATGCTTCTGAGTTATGGGGTTGGAGGAGAATATTGAAAGTGCCATGGGCTGCCAAAAGAACCTACAGATCTGTGTTGGAAGAAGTGCAGCCAGAGTGCCCCTTGGTGGCCAAGATGGCCAAACTTCGTCTCTCATACTTCAGACATCTTGTCAGGAGGGACCAGTTGCTAGAGAAAGATATCATGTTTGGTAAGTTGGAGGGTCAGAGAAAAAGAGGAAGACCCTCAGCGAGATGGATTGGCAAAGTGGCAGCATCAATGGGCTCGAGCATGGCAACAATTGTGAGGTTGGCCCAGGATCGGGCAGTGTTTTGTTCTGTTGTGTAGAGGGTTGCTGTGCGTTGGTATTGACTCAATGGCACCTAACAACAATAACAATAGCATACGGCCCAATACATTCCCCACCCTGGTTTAAAGCTCCTAATGCTTTTGACTGCAGTGTGCAAGGCTGTTTCCCCTGCATTACAGGGCCCCAGATGTCTTGTTTGATTAATTCTCAGCCCTCCTTTGCATCCTCGTAGCAGTTGGATGCAAGTTGATGGTTCATTGGCAGCCCTGGTTTGATTCCTGATCATTGCATCTTATGTGCAGCCATCAGTTGTCATTGGAAACTTGCATGTTGCTATGTTGCTGAATGGGTTTCAGTGGAGCTTCCAGACTAAGATAGACCAGGAAGAAAAGCCTGGTGAACTCCTCCCAAAAATCAACTAAGGAAAACCCTATGGGTCATAATGCTCCCATTCACAGCTGATCTTGGGGGATGGCTCAAGCACGGGAAGTGCTTCATTTTGTATAAAACAGCAACACCAGGTTTACAGGTCTGTGTCTCCCACTAGTTTTAAGCATCTGAAGGTCAGGATCTCTGGCCCCTGACATACTTGCACATGGTAGGGACCGCTGAGTGTTTGCCAGACTGAACTGACTCCTCTCTCCCTTGAGCCGTTACTTCTTACCTGGCGCTGTTCTTAATGTGATGATGCATGTTACTAGTGATTTCTGTGGAGCCTGAGGCTGGCTCTGATCTACTACTTCAGTGAAATCCATGAACTTTGTGACAAGCCTTTCCAAAAACCTCTTGCATTTATTTCTGGATTTACCATTTTCAACTCACAAATGTTACCATTTGCAACACAGCTTTTGCATCAGTAAAGCAGATTCTAAGCTAGTCATAGTCAGGGGGGTCGGATCTCCTCCCTTGTTAGCACTCTGCGTCATAAGCCCTTATCTTTAAAATTACCCCAAAGTCAAGTTTTTACTCCAGTTTTATAGAAGAGAAAGCTGAGGACAGAAAAGCTAAGTCAGAGATGGAATCTGATCCCCACTTTTGAGACTCCCTTATACTCATTCTCCCTCCTCACCTTGTCTCTCTCTGAGCAGGAAATGACTGGAAACCATTCATTGTCTGGGTCTTCTCTTGACAAATGATTTTCCACTGGGGGTTCCTTTAACCTTATGGAAGGACTGAAGGTAGGAAAAGAGAAACATAAAATAACAGTTAGTTACTGCGAAACAAAGACCCTTCAAAAATCAAGAAGGTTAAGTGCTTGACTCTGAGCCAAAAGGTTGCTGGTTCAAACTCACCCAGAGCCACCTCAGAAGAAAGGCCTGGTAATCTATTTCCGGAATGTCACAGCCTTGACAATTTTACGGGGCAGTTGTATTCTGCACATATGAGGTCGTCATGGTCAGATTTGCCTTGGTGACAACTAGTAACAGAGATGATCGTATAAGTTCAAAGGTTGTTCTAACAGACTTCAGACAATACTCAGGAAGGTGTTCAGCAGAAAATGAGTTAAACTTCATTTTCATCTGTCCAGAGTTTGGCCCAGGCCCTGTTGTCATAGGTAATAACGGCTTTGGTGTCCAAAGAAAGCCTCCCACTTAAGAATTCCGCAAAGTGTGGACAAGTGTGCGTGGATCTGCTGGGCCATGCTGGGAGGGTGCTGGAGCCTAGCCCAAGGGGACCTAGGTGTCATGGTTCCCAGCTACTTCTCTCCAGGGTCTCTGGGTTTGTGGGGCAGGAGGTAAAGCTGGACATCATATCCCCCACTCCGCCCACAGTGTTTCCGAATCCAGGGCCAGGACCCCCAGGACCAAGTGAAGTGGTCTGAGGCACAGTTCTCCTGTGAACAGCAAGAGGCCCAACTGGTCACCATTGCAACGCCTTTAGAGCAAGGTAGGGCCCGCCTGTGGGGAGCCCCCCGTGCCCTCTGCCATAGCCCCTTGAAATGGCTAGCGAAGAGGGTGGACACGGAGGGTTACCCTGTCACTCATGAGCCTCTTTTTGGGGACTAGCCTTCATCACGGCCAGCCTGCCCAATGTGACCTTTGACCTTTGGATTGGCCTCCATGCCTCGCAGAGGAATTTCCAGTGGGTGGAGCAGGAGCCTCTGCTGTATGCCAACTGGGCACCTGGGGAACCCTCTGGCCCTAGCCCAGCTACCAGTGGCAATAAACCGGTGAGGACGGCTGCCCCACTCTCCGGCCCCACTAGTCTTCATCCCTGCCCCAACCTGCTTACCTGGTCCCTGGGCCATTAGGAAGCAGTGGCATAGGATGGTGGTTACCGTGTGGACCTCCCTGAGTAACTGCTTCCCTCCAGACCAGCTGTGCAGTGGTCCTGCACAGCCCCTCAGCCCTCCTCACTGGACGTTGGGATGACCGGAGCTGTACGGAAGAGACACACGGCTTCATCTGTCAGAAGGGCACCGGTATGAGTCAACAGTGAAGTCCTCCCCAGCAGATGGCACTGGGCCAGGAGCTGTGGGCCAGGCCAGGAGGAATGAGACCTGGGAGGTCAGGCTGATGGGCAGAAAGGCAGGGGGCCAATAAGAGGGAAGGGCAGTGAGCACCCAGGGGTCTCAGGAGGAAGGTTCAGCGTCATTACGGAGGGCTGAGGACGGACTTAGATGTGGACCAGCGTGCACTGCTGACAGGCGCGATATTGGGAACTTGAGGCTCTGTGGAGGGCCACCCAGAGTCCATCCACGGCGGTCCAATGCCCTGAGTTCCTTGGGTGGAGTCACTCAAAACTTCGGTCCAGCTCATCTGCTTATTAGCAAATTAGTAACAAGAATGGGTCACCCTGCCCTTTGGAGATGTAAATTATTATATATGCCTGAATGGGTTTTTTTGGTTTGTGTGTTTTTTAAAAAGCTAAAGTAGATAGAGAGAAATACTGTTAACTCATGGTATATGGAGGGGATTATAATCAATGTAATGAAACAAGTTATTTGAATGGTTGAATGTGAAACTGATGATGTGCCCTGTAAACTCTCAATCAACAATAAAAACCATAAATTAAAAAATAAAATAAAAAATTAAAAACTTCAAAAAAATTTGGGTCACCTAAGTTCCCACCTCTGGCATGGGAATGGGGTGAGGGTGGCAGAGCCTAGCCTGAGCCCTGTCCCCTTCCCTGCAGACCCCTCCCTGAGCCCATCCCCAGCGGCATCGCCCCCTGCCCCGGGCTCTGAGCTCTCCTACCTCAATGGCACCTTCCGGCTGCTGCAGAAGCCGCTACGCTGGCACGACGCCCTCCTGCTGTGTGAGAGTCGCAACACCAGCCTGGCCCGAGTGCCAGACCCCTACACCCAGGCCTTCCTGACGCAGGCCGCTCGAGGCCTCCGCACACCGCTCTGGATCGGGCTGACCAGCGAAGAGGTGAGCGACCACCGCGCCGCTCTCGGCCCCGGGCCTTGCCCGCCCATTCCCCATAAACTCCCACTCCATCCCCTCACTGCCCATTCCTTTCTCCCACGCTGACGACCTGTTCCTTGTCCAGGGCTCCCGGAAGTACTCCTGGGTTTCTGAGGAGCCGCTGAGCTACGCGAGCTGGCAGGACGGGGAGCCCCAGCCTGGGGGTTGCGCCTATGTGGATGTGGATGGCAGCTGGCGCACCACCAATTGCAACACCAAGTTGCAGGGGGCTGTGTGTGGCGTTGGTGGTGGTGAGTGTCCAGCACTGGACCCAAGGGGTGGGCTAAGTGCAGTTGGCCCCCGGGAGGACTCCGGGCCATCCCTCCGTTCTGTGCCCCCACAGGACCCCCTCCTCCTCGAAGAATAAGCTACCAGGGCAGCTGCCCCCAAGGGCTGGCTGACTCCATGTGGATTCCCTTCCGGGAACACTGCTACTCTTTCCACCTGGAGCTACTTCTGGGCCACAAGGAGGCGCTGCAGCGCTGCCAGAGAGGTGAGGGGGCGCAGGGCTGGGGCTGGGTACCCCACGCAGACAGATTCAGGCTACTTCGTGGCGGTTTCAGGGCGTAACTCGTCACATGGACACTCAGCGACCCCATGAGTGCCGTGTCTGTAATGTATACCTATAGGCAGGCCCCCGTTTTCTAACACAGAGGCAGAATTCTCACCCAGGTTCCATCCTGGTGGTGGTGTTCCTAATGTGCAGTGACCATCTTCCACCGGTGGGAGCTTGTGTGCTGCTATGATGCTGAATGGGCTTCAGCAGAACTTCCAGACTAAGACGGACTAGGAAGAAATGCCTAGTAATCCACTTGCAAAAATCTGCCAGTGGAAACCCTGTACATGGATTGGAAGACAATCTTGTTACATGTAAATACCATCCAAAGCGATCTACAGATTCCACACAATCCTGATCCAAATAACAATGTTCTTTACAGAAGTAGAAAAGTTGATCCTTAAATTTTATATGGAATGGCAGGAGCTCCCTGAATAGCTGAAACAGTGTTGAAAGAGAAGAAGAAAGTAGGAAGGTATACTCTACAATCTGAATAGTCCAAGTAGCCTCCTACTGATAGAACAATAACACATAGACCAACAGAACATAATAGAGAGTCTAGAAATAAACCTAAATATCTATGGTCAACTGATTTTTGACAAGGTTACTAAGTCCATTTGATGGAGAAAGAGATGGTGCTGAGAAAACTAGATTCCACATGCAGAAAAAGAAATGCCTCATGCCACATACAAAAATAAATTTTAATGGATTAAGGACCTAAATGTACAGAGCTAAAACCATAACATTCTCAGAAGAATAAATGGGGCAATGCGCCACACATAGCTTTTAAAAATGGATTATCTAATACAATAACAAAAGCACTAACAGCCAAAGACAATAAATAGGACTTCATAAACAACAACAACAAAGTTCAACAAAAGACTACCAAAAAGGTGAAAAAAGTAGCTACCAACTGGGAGACTATCTTGAAAAAACATGTATCTAACAAGAATCTAATAACCTTGTGGCACTATAGTTCAATGCACTGGACTGCAAAGTTGGTTTGAGTCACAATGTCTGGTTCAAGGTCACCAGCTGCTCCTTGGAAACCCTATACAGGGTCTCTTTGAGTTGGCACCAACTCGATGGCACTTAACAACAACAATATAAAATTTCTATAGCTTAACCACAAAAAGACAACCCAATCTTAAAATGGGCAAAGGACTTGAATAGACACTTCACCAAAGAAGACATTCAAGTGGTCACAAAACACATGTAAAGGTGTCTTTGCCATCAGAGAGCTGCCAATCAAACCGGCTGCCGGATACCATTCCACCCCTGCTAGGATGGCCAGGAGTCCTGGTGTGGCGCTGGTTCAAACTCACCAACCACTCCTCAGAAACCCTGTACAGGGTCGCTGTGAGTCAAATCTGACTCGATGGCACACCACCACCAGGATGACAAAACTAGAAAACGACAAATGTTGGCAAGCATGTGGGGAAATTGGAATCCTTATCCCCTACTAGGGGGAATATAAAATGGTAGAGCCATGTGCAAAACAGTTTGGAGGTTCCTCAAAACACTACAAATACAACTGCTATGTTGTTAATTGCTATTGAGTGTTTGGCAGCTAACAACAGCATCAGTAATACTACACGTACACACAAATGTACATGCTCACACTCATCCTCCTTCAGGCTTCCTGAGAGCAGGGCTGGGGCCACGCTGGGGGCTCTGCTGTACCAGGGAGGTCTGTCTGCCCTAACTCCAGCCTTTCTGTGTCCAGCGGGTGGGGCCGTCCTGTCCATCCTGGATGAGATGGAGAACGTGTTCATCTGGGAGCATCTGCAGAGCTCAGAGGGCCAGAGTCGGGGTGCCTGGCTGGGCATGAACTTTAGCCCCAAAGGTGGGTGCCCTGTGGGTAGGGATGGGTCCTCATGCTTTCCCTCCTGCCCAAGGCTTGACTAGGGTAGGGGTGGAAGACGGACTATTCTAGAACAAGTTCTCCCTCCTGCTCCACCCTGTTTTCCCTCCTCTGAACCCTTTAGTGCTTTCTCTCCCCTAGGAGGCACCCTGGTCTGGCAGGACAACACAGCCGTGAACTACTCCAACTGGGGTCCCCCCGGCCTGGGCCCCAGCATGCTGAGCCACAACAGCTGCTACTGGATCCAGAGCAGCAGCGGGCTGTGGCGGCCCGGGGCGTGCACCAACGTCACCATGGGTGTTGTTTGCAAACTCCCTCGAGGTGAGCCCTTGTCTCAGACAGACCACTCCTCCTCCATCCACCCTCATGCATCTGATGCTGTGGTGGGGTCAGGGGCCATGTCTTCATCTGCAGGGACCTGGTGGATGGGAGGGTATGAACAGGCCAAGGCAGGGGGAGGCAGCTAGGACACGCCCCTGGATAAACTGATCGGTGGAAGGACTGGCCCTGGAGACTTAAGAAGGCCCAGTGGTCAGCATACCCTGGCGCTTTTGTTCAGAGCACAGCTAGGGTTTGGTCCTTGTGACTCCATTACTTAGCAACTTTGTGATGGTGGGCAAGTTGCTCCAGCTCTGTGCTTTGGTTTCCTCATGCAGAAAATGGAGAGTGTAGTAATAGTACCTGCTTCATAGATTTCTTTAAAAACAGAACTGTACTCTGGAGGATGTTCAGTGGCGGGAGTTTTGGAAGTAGGTTGCCAAGTCTTTCTTTTGTGGCTTTTCTGGGTGGACTCAAACTCGCAGCCTTTAGGTTCTGCTGCTGCTGCTGCTGCGTCAAGCTGTGGCTTTTCTGGGTGGACTCAAACTCGCAGCCTTTAGGTTAGGATCTGAATGTGTTTTGCGTCTGTAACCACCCAGAGACTCAAAGCACACACACACAAAAACACCAAACCAATGCCATCAAATCAATTCTGACTCCTAATGACCCAATATAGGGTTTCCAAGACTTTTACGAAGCAGACAGCCTCATTGTTCTCCCTCAGAGCAGCTAGTGGGTTTGAACCACCAACCATGTGTTTAGCAGCCCAACACCTAAACCAACCCACAGTGCCACCAGGTCTCTGTACTCAGGGATTCTAGTGCAGATGAATGAGTTAAAAAAAGAAAAATGTGTCAGATACTTAGCAAGTACTCTTATTTATTATTAAAGCAAATAAAGTACTTAGGAGGTACTATTTATTGTTATTATCATCATTGCTATTATGATTGATTGATTACCTCTCTCCCTCCTACAGCTGAGGCGAGCAGCTTCTCTCCATCAGGTAAGCCAAGGGCAGAGCTGAGGCTAGCCCGCCTCTTGGGATGCCTCTTCTCTTGGATCCTGGCGGTGGGTGGCCTGGTGGGGGCTGGGAGGGCTGCTCAGCGCCGATTAGACATCCATCCGTGTCACCGTGTCACCGCAGCGGCGCTCCCTGAGAACCCTGCTGCCCTGGTGGTGGTGCTGATGGCCGTGCTGCTGCTCTTGGTCCTGCTGACCGTGGCCCTGATCCTCTATCGGCGGCGGAAGAGTGTGGAGCGTGGGGCCTTCGAGGGGGCCCGCTATAGCCGCAGCTCCTCTGGCCCCGGCGAGGCCACAGAGAAGAACATCCTGGTGTCCGACATGGAAATGAATGAGCAGCAAGACTAGAGCCATGGGCGTGGGTGGGGCTGGGGAGGCTGGAGCCCTGGGTCAGCAGGGCCCTCACCTGCTGCCAGTCCAGATGGCCTGCAGAGGGGTGCCCTTGGGAGTCGCTGTTGGGAGTCAGGGCTGGGCAGGGTCTGGACTGGTGGGGTCTCAGCCGTGAGGGCTGGACTGAGTACAGCATGGTGTGCCCCCTACAGAGAGGATTGAGGTCTTGTCACCTGGCCCTGTGCTCTCGTGGTAACCAGAGGCAAGATGGGAGGGGGGGATGGGAGCCTGTTTGCCGCTGTCTCTCGAGGGGCCCCTTGCCCAGACCTACTACCCACGCCTAGGACCCCTTTCCTATTTGCAGAGCCTGAGGAGCCTCCCCTGCCCCTTCACGCAGCGCTCTGTCGTTTCTGCTCCTCCCACTTGGCGGCCTCAACTGAGCCCCGCCCCCTTGCTCCTCATCTCTTCTCATGGCGCCTTCCCATCCGAGCCAGGGCCCTGGGGCTTGAGGAGTCCTCTTGCTCTTGGTGGGAGCATTGCAACTCCTGTACCTTCTGAGGTGGCATGGCCGCGGCGGGAGAGGTCGGGGTCTGGTCTGAGAACCAGTGCATTGGTGTGGTTTCTGTTGCTCTGGAGACTGGACTGTGGAGAGACACCCCAAGCCTCCCAGGGGTGACTGGGTTGGGCTGGGGTATCATCTCCTGCTGGCCAGGGGAGGGCTCTGCTCCTGAGAGAGTCCCCTGTGGGGACCAAAATAAGTTCCCTAGCTCTTTTAGCTCCTGACTTTGGTTTGGGGAGAGGGGAAGAGTTCTGGGGGCCGCGGAGAAGTGGGAGCCAGGGCAACTCTGGTGCCGCCCTCTAGTGGGGCCTGGAGGAACAGCACCCGAGTGCCTGGGGAGGCCCCTCTGGGGGAGCTGCCCAGGGGGTCTTTCCCAGGGGCCAGACTCCCAGCCAGGTCCTGATGGCATGTGCCGCCAGTCCTGGTGCCATGGCGTGGGACAATGTGAACACGGACTCAAAGACCCAGTCCCTTTTTTGTAGTTCTCAACTTTTTTAATGTGTCATTATTGTTTAAAAAAGAAAAAAAAAAGGGAAGGAAGAAATAAAACACCTTTAAGAGGCTTGGAAGATAAAGGTCTCTGTCTTCTTGTGGTTCAAGCCTGGTTCTTCCTTGTGGCCCTGTAGAGAGGCCTGCGTCCCATCCTGTGTTCCCATTGTTGGGAACTCCCTCCGGTGCCCCCTGCTGGGCCTGCTCCCCCCTTTCCTCTATCCTTGGGAATCACAGCGCACCTTCCCTTCCACCCTGTGCCAATGAGGACAACAGGACCCACCTCCAAGGGCTGTTGGAAGGATATTTGAGGATTAAATAAGATATCCATGCAAAAGGAGCCCTGGTGGTGTAGTGACTTACACATTTGGGCTGCTAACTGCAAGGTCAGCGGTTTGAATCCACCAGCTGTTATGAAGGGGAATAAGATGAGCCTTGGAAAACTATACAGGGTCGCTATGAGTCGGAAGTGACTCACAGCACATCACCACCACCATTCATGCAAAGCTCTTAAAACAGCCCACACTGCCCTTGAGTTTGACTCACTGCCACCCCATGTGTTACAGAGAGCTACCACAGTAGGGTTGCTGAGTAGGAACCTACTCCACAGCACTTAACAACAATCCTTATGGAAAGAGTCCTGGGATGGCACTGTAGGGTAAGCAAGGGACTGCCAGATTGGTTTGAACTGCAAAGTCAGTGGTTCAAATTCACCAGCCACTCTTCGGAAACCTTATACAAGGTTGCTATGAGTCAGAACCGACTCGGCGGCACTTAACAACAACAACAACAATCTTTAGGGCAGCAGTTTGCCAGGCCTTTTCTGCAGAGCCGCTGGGTGGGTCTGAGGCACGAACCTTTAGGATGGCAGCTGTTCTGGGCTGTAGCACCCCATGAACATTTTGGGTGCCCTGCCATCCCTGGTAGCATAGTGGATTATAAACTGGGTTGCTAACCACAAGCTCTGTTCAAATCTACCAGTTGCTCTACAGGAGAAAGATGAGGCTTACTGCTCCTGTAAAGGTTTATAGCCATAGAGACTTTATACAGGGTCACCGTGAGTAGGCACTGACTCCACGGCACATCATCACCAACCACCGCCCGCCCTGGGTGGTGAGTCAGCATCCCGATTTTCTAGGCTGCTTTCGTGCCCACCTCTGAGCCATGAGAAAGTTCAGATTTATCCTTGGAGGAGCTTGGACTCTACCAGCTTGGGAAACGGGGTGAAGCTGGGTAGGAGCCAGAGGAGTGGACAACAGGACATGTCTCCACCAGATCTTCACTCACCTGCTGGTTCAGTGGACATCTGGACTGGAGATAGAGCAGTAAACAGATGACTCTAGAGATGTCTAATGCTGGGTGTTGGGTGCCGCTGCTGCTGCTGCTGCTGCTGCGTCAAGTGGGTTCCGACTCCTAGTGACCCTGTATGTGATTTCTGAAGCTGTAAATATTTATGGGTGCTGAAATCCTCATCCTTCTCCTTCAGAGTGACTGGTGGATGCACACTGCTGGCTGGCCTTGTGGGTAACAGCTCAATGTGTAAGCCACTAAGTTACCAGAGCTGCTTCAGGTGGTGCTAAGAACCAGTTAAAAACAAAAACACAAAAACAAACCCACTGCCATAAAGTTGATTCCAACTCATAGCAACCCTCGAGAACAGTAGAACCGCCTCATAGGGTTTCCAAGGTTGTGTAACATTGCCGAGAATGAGTATTCCTGAACACTTAATGGTAATCATGAAGAAGCTGTACATAGACTAAGAGGCAGTTCAAACAGAACAAAGAAACACTGAATGGTTTAATATTAGGAAAGGTGTACGTCAGGGTTGTATTCTTTCACCGTATTTATCCAATCTGAATGCTGAGCAAAGTTTGAGAAGCTGGATTATATGAAGAAAAATGGGTTGGAGAAAGCCTCATTAACAACCTGCAATATGCACATGATACAACTTTGCTGAAAATGAAGAGAACTTAAAATATTTGCTGATGAAGATTAAAGACCTTTGGTATGGGATGCACCTCAATGTAAAGAAAACAAAAATCCTCACCACTGGGCCAAAAACTAACATCCATATAAATGGAGAAAAGACTGAAGTTGTCAAAGACTTCATTTTGCTCAGATCAAGCATCAACCTTCATGGAAGCAGCAGTCAAGAGATCAAATGACGTAATAGACAAATCTGCTGCACATGACCTCTTTAAAGTATTCAAGAGCAAAAAATGTCACTTTGAAGACTAAGGTGTGCCTGACTCAAGCCATGGTATTTTAAATAGCCTTGTATACATGTGAAAGTTGGACAATGAATAAAGATGACCGTAGAAGAATTGATGGATTTGAGTTATTGTGTTGGAGGAGAATATTAAAAGTACCATGGACTGCCAAAAGAACAAACAGTTCTGTGTTGGAAGAAGTACAGCCAGGGTGCTCCTAGGAAACCAGGATGGCCAGACTTGGACATATTACCAGGAGGGACCAGTCTCTGGAGAAGGACATCATGCTTGGTAAAGTGGAGGGTCAACGAAAAAGAGGGAGACCCCCAAGGAGATGGATTGACACAGTGGCAGCAGTAATGGGCTCAAGTGTAGCAAAGATTGTGAGGTTGGTGAAGGGCCGGGAGGTGTTTTGTTCTGTTGTGCATAGGGTCACTATGAATTGGTACTGATTCAACCCCACCTACCAACATTTACATAAGCATACCACCACATCTTCTGTGGAGTTACTAGTGGGTTTGAACTGTCGACCTTTCAGTTAGCAGCCAAGCAATTACCCACTGCTCTTCAGGGAGGAGTAAAGCAGGGTAAATTGGGGCTAGGAGCTAGGGGTTAGGGAGGTGACTTGGGGGGCTCTCACCTGAGAAGGGAGACAGTGAGCAGCTAGTCCCAGGTGCCTTAGAGGACGCAAGGGGGTGAGACTGACTAGAGATGACCACAGCGAGCCAGGAGGGTTGGGGGCAGAGAGGTGGTCAGAGCCAGACACAGTCCAAGGGCTCAAGGATAGTGGTAGGGTGTGGATATTGTTTTAAGGATCTTGGGAAGTTCGTGGAGGAAGTCAGCAGGAGTGGCCAATCTGAGTGACCTCTGACCAAGGTCGCCCTGGCCAGGATGTGGGAAATAGAGGTGGATACGCAATAGGGGGGAGTCTGGGCGTGGCGCTATGGATTAATACGCAGGACTCCGAGGTTGGTTTGAACTCAATATCGGCAGTTCAAGCTCACCAGTCGCTCCTCGGAAACCCTGTACAGTGTCGCTATGGGTTGGAACCGACTCGATGGCACTTAACAACAATGATAACTGGCAATAGGGAGTGAAGGCAGGAAAGCTCTTAGGAAGGTCTTGTACTAATCGAGGCATGAGCAGATTGTGGTTTGTAGATTCAATGTGTGTGTGTTTAGCCTTGTTCATTATCTTTTGGATCCGTTTCTACATTTGCGTGTTTCGAAATCTAACTGATACAAGATGTTTGGTTGTTAACTGCTGTTGACTCATAGCTACTCTGGAGCAGCTGGTGGGTTTGAACTGCCGGTCTTGTGGTTTGCAGTTCAGTGCTGACCTTACAGCGCCACACCAGAATACACACTGGGAAGTCTTGTTCCCCCTGCCCCCAACCATCTTGTTGCCTTCTGATATGACTTCTTTGGTTGGTTTCTTGGATATCTTTAGTGTTCATGAAAATACAAGCAAGCTCACCTGAGTATGTCACAAGGGGGCGCTGCTTCCCTTGCTGGGACTGGATGTGGTGCTGGGAGGAAGAGAGAGGCCGAAGCTTTTGACCAGAATCTCAGGGTGAATGGGGTGCCATTTAGTGAGTGAGGGCACTCCTAGGGGGAGCTCGGAGCTGCTTTTCTGAGGCCTGGGCTGCAGCAGCCAAGGCCAGAGGTCTCTCTTCTGTGTGGCCCCACCATGGTGGTTTTCCTGACCTGGAGGAAGGCCCAATTCTCAGGGGGTACTTAATGATTCCACCACTTGTCTGT